GTGATTGGTTAAAGCAGCTCTCTGCTGTCTGAGGGTAGGCCCCGCCCACAATGCCGCGGCTGCTATGGCTCCCAGGGTTTTCTTTACTGTCGGAAACTGGTAATAATGGCTATTTAATGGGAACAGGTTGCCGACCCCTGGGTTAGAAGGACATGGCAGGTAATCTGGTTGCAGTGCTTCCCACAACGCGCTGCAGACCTCTGAAACAATCATCAACACTGTGTTGGATGCCATTTTGTAGCTGGAAGCTACAGCCTGTTGACTGCTTCCAGAAGTCAAAACACACAGAGTAACGGACAGTCTCTGGGCAACATTTATCGGTATGCTGTGTGTCCCCTGGTGATGCATCAGTGGTTTCAATCGCCGAACCAGCTCATCAAATCTGTCAACCGACATATGAAAATACCTGAAATGTATTTCTGCGTCCATGTCCCTCAAAGGTTGCACAAGTCCTGAAAATTTACCTGTTGTCTGCCTAGACCTGTTTAGCGGACGGACATCCCACCGACGCTGCTGTCTCCTTTTATGCTCTCGCTGGTATTTCAGCAGGATAAGCATTTCTTTGTCTTGATCACCCTGTTCCAACTCGATCAAACTTCTCTGTCTCTTGTTGATTGCCATTTTTCAGACAGCGGAAGTGATTTCCAAGGAAATAGTACGTCACTGTACTGCAACCTACGCTACGCCCTCTGTTGTCCTGGCGGAGAATTGCTTTGCAATGCCCCTTCAGCAAACGGAGAAGTATGAGAGCAAAACGCTTCCATCAATCCGTGCATGTCTGTCCCTTGCGGAGCTGATGGAGAAGCATGAATCAGGCTTTAGGGAGTCGGAAAAGTATCAGCTTTGTTCTGCAGGAACAGTTTGCTGTGTCAGCGGTAGGCAGCTTTTAGCAGGGTTTTGGCAGCTTGCCAAAAATGCTCTGGGTTTAAGAGGTTTCGCTCTGAATGGCCATTCCATATCTTTCTCTAGAACTGGCTCACCGAGAAGTGAGCTCTGTTTTAATATTCTCATATTATGATTTACTAACAAATCAGAATCTGCCGTGTAAGAAGAGTTTTACCAATGAACCTCGGAAACCACGCCTTGCGTCAGATACAGGAGTTCTGGTTCGTGGAACAGAATGCAATGTGTCGTGATATTAGCTTAACCTTGTCATTGTCACGTGTCTGAGTGTGTGAGCTGTCAGAAAATAGTGATTCACTTGTTAAACCAGCATTACTGATCATAATATCAAAATGTTTCATTTCAAATAATAATAACATTCATTCCAAACTTCAGTAATTCAAGCACAGATTAATTAAAACATTGCTATTATCCATATAACATTTGTTAATTTCATTTCATGATTGACTCATATGAGCTGAAAACGTTCACTTTATTCAGAGAGTGGACACTCCTGCGGTGTTATCAAAGAAGGCTTTGTTTGGGAATACAGGCTGACAAAGTGTTCCTCCTGAAATGTCAACAAGGTTGCAGTATCATTCTGGACTTGTAGGCAAATAGAGTGTAAAATCCACCTTGGAGGATGTAATTAGGTCTGCAGATGACCAGGAGCATGGAGGTCAATCTGCAGGTGAAAATTGACCATTTCTGGACATTACACATGGATTGTCAACAAGCACTGCAGAAACTTCTGGGTGTTTAGAAGATAGAGTTTTAAATCCCCCTAGAACATGGATTTATTTCTGTAGATGGCTGGTCACTGTGTAGGTCAATATGTAGGTTAAAATTGACCCTTTCTGGATGTTAAAGAAGGGTTGGTTAGCTGGTTAGTTAAGGGGAGGTAGTTTTCATTAAAATCCTAATTCAGCCCACTGGCTCCTGCTGGTGTCATTATTGTTGATTTTTTAAATTATAACTATTATTATTATCAGCAAATATAGAATAAACATCCAACATTTCAATTGGAAGTTTAGGATTCTTTATGGTTTTAGTGTTTGCAGCAGCAGAGCCTGGTTTGTGTTCCGTCACATTTCTGAAATGAGACCATTGGGTTCAAACAAAATAACAAACCAGGCCAAGCATGTTATTTCGTCTTATTTATTACCTTATTTGATTGATAATTTGCTCAATTTTAAGTTATTAATTAAAAAAACAATAATTCAAATATAATTAAATAACCTGTTACAAGCACCAGAATGTGGTTAATGACATCTACTTACTGAAACCTTTCTGTGGGCAACCCCCAGACCAACACCCCATCACCTGATATCCTCTCTCTGTCTGTCTTGTCTCAGTCTTTGCCTCTTCTCCAAGGAACAGAAACTTGTTGGCAGAAGGTAAACAAAGGCTTTGCTACTCTGAGAGCAGGGACATGTAGAAAACATGCAGCCACAGTGGCCTTCAAGGACCAGGTATGCTCCCCTCTGTTAATGTCCAAAATTATTGCCACTTTCATTTGCAGGAGGTTGACTTGCTGGGGAGAGTGTGTGAAAATAGAAGGTAGCGTGGTCGAAATACACATCATTACTTTTCATTAAAATTGAATTATAACATGTGATCCAGGTGTGTAAGGCAAAGTGCATTAGAAAATAGCTCTTTTAGCCCCGCTGGCTTGCATTCATTTTTTTCATTCTTTTGGGGACCCATGAGCCAACCGGAAAGGAAGCAGACTTAGGCTCCCTATGAGCTAACAGCTAGTTTATACTTGCAATATCTTGTGTTTTTGAACCCTTACACCAGAATAGTTGTAAAATGTCTGTCAGGAGAATACACTTCCCTCTGTACAGATATCTTTAGATTGTTCTCGCTCCAAACACAGTACCCAGAACCTCACACTCCAGTTGTTCATAAGCCGCATTAACACTTGGAACAGCTCAGGCTAGTCCTAGTAGGGTAATGTGTGCTACATTGGCGTAGTCTGTGCATTGTTTGTGTGAAGCCGACCATTTGTTTTTGGCCTTGCGTCCCTGCAGTCCGTCTCTTGCTGAGCCAGCCATACACACCCACATGGACTAATTGGCTGGCTGAACTTCACGGGGAACTTCTAGTGGGAGCCTCAGATTGGCAATCAGACAGTAGCTGTTTCCTGCATGCACAGTCTGGATGCAGTGGGGTAAACATCTTCTCTGACTGCAGCTCGGACCAGCTGCAGGAGTACAAGGACTGACTGTGAGCTCTCTTTGATGGGAGAGGATAGCCTGGCCTGCCAGACTCGTCCTCTGATTAATTCTGCACAGAGAAAGAGCCTGGTAACTCACAGGCAGAGAGGCAGATGAGGGGCGGAACTAGACAGCTCAAAAATAACCAATCAGAAAAAAGACGGAAATGCCGACTGCACCACGCAACGCTGTAGTTTTTTAGCTGTAGTAATAAAAAGCGTCTGGCAAAGGTGCAAACATATTTCATTAGAAGAAAGGCTTTTAGAGCTTCTACTTGTTGTGGTTTTAAAGACATTCAAGTCGTTTAGAACAGGGGAAAGAGCCGCAGTAATCTCCGCATCAGTCGCCATGTTCGACAAATTCAGCGTTATGGTGTGTGACGTACGCTACTCAGCGCTGATTGGCTCGGTTAGAATTCTCACGGGGTAGAGTTATTTGAATAGGAGAGTTCCAAGACTCTTTCTCTGTGCAGAGTTAAACAGAGGAGGAGTCTGGCAGGCCAGGTTAGGGAGAGGAGCCCACAGCAGCACCGCTGCTCAGTGAGGAGAGTAGGAAGCTTTGTGCTTCATGTCAGTCTCCACAAGCCACATTGCTCATGCCCGCTTTTGTTTACTAAAGGCTGATTCATGCCTCTCCGTCTGCGTGAGTGCGGAGACACGCAATGCCATTATCCGTCCTTGCGTAGGGCCCCGGCTGGCATGCAAGTACGTACGGAGTCGAGCCTACTTTTTTAAACATCCGTCCGTCGAGATGGAGAACGCAAGCTTGTGATTGGTCAGGGCACCGCTGTCGTCTACACCGCTGCCATTGCGCCCTCAAAAACATAAAGACAGCTGAGAATAACTAGCGGTAGACACGGAGAAGCTTGAAGAATACCTCGCGAAAAAACTCTTAAAATATCAATGTTTAATTCCCCCGAGACTGGAGGAGTGAAAAGATACACAGCAAGCATTTTATTTGTGGACAGAAATGACAGGAAACGTGGGTTTAGAGGTGGCGATAATGAAGAGGTGGAGGAGAATGAGAGACAAATTTGTCAGTGTTAAAAAGTCTCTTATATACAAAAATCACAATATAAACACACTAACTTGGACTGGATACATGACAGGATACCATAGAATAGCGCTACGCCCTCTGTTGTCCTGCTGGGCAATTGCTTTGCAACACTCCCCAGGAGACGAAGAAGTATGAGAGCAAAACGCTTCCGTCAATCCGGGCGTGTCTCTCGCTTGCAGAGCTGACGGAGAAGCATGAATCAGCCTTAACATGTGCATCTCTTTAGCCCCGCCCACATGCTCTGGGACATCTGCATTCCTGAGAAGGCTGTGTAAACAAAACCTGGCAGCACGACTGAAGCATTATTTATACTTCTCCGTCTGCGTCTCCTGACAGCTAGCTGTTTATTTGCTAACTTTGGTTTTGTGTAGCAACTCACACAATGGTCGCTACTTTTGCATATAATACATACACTTGGACTCCCAGTTTATATATATATATATATATATATATATATATATATATATATATATATATATATACATATATATATATATATATATATATATATATATATATATATATATATATATATATATATATATATATATAAGTATAAAAAAGAAAATGGAGATAAGCCTACACAATCACCCTGCTGTTTTTATGGTCAACTCATTCTGATAACATTGCCAAATGTTTCTATTTTAAATTGGATTTTTTTAAAAAGATTATTGCTAAATAGGATTTTTTTAATATACGTTTTGTTTCTCTTGTTTATAATTTATAAATTGTCCTAATTTGTTTTTGTGCTTTTGAAAAAAAAAATCCAAATCTTAATAAAAATGTAAAAGCCAACATCCCAAAAACAGTTTCATTCAGTACATAACAGGAATCAAACAAAAATGGTTATTTATTATTTTATTACTACTGTTCATTTAGTACAATAAACAAGATGACAAAGAAATACATTTAATATATCTTTAACTACCTATTAAACGGATACAAGGAGATCTGTTAGTTTTTTTTTCTTCAAAAACAAAGTGTTACATTGCATTTAATGAACTAGTCTTGTTTTACTACTTCATCTGCTAAACTCTACAGTCTGGACCTGTTATACATATAAATTACACACATATTGTAAACATGTAAATGCTTTATTTGGCAATGGTTTGTAACCAATGTTTGTGATTTTTGTGTGAAAATACAAGCCTTTTAGCTGCGGAGTAAAGACAACAATGGCATTGTAGTTGGAAGAGAAAAGGGGTAAGAGTGACAGTGGGATGCTTCTAGTATGTCATTTACCAGAAACCAACACCATGTGTGTCTCACGGACACCATCATTTTTCTCACAGTATTCAGTTGAAGTTTTATTTGTTTGTTTTTAGTGAGCTACTTTTTAGGTGAAATAAGACTAAAGACTGAAGGAAGGAATCTTCCCATGGGCTCACCACTCGTAGGAGGGGCTAAAGGGGTCAGGTGCAGTGTGTGACGGGTGATAGTCGAGGGCGGGGACCTTGGCGATCTGATCCTCAGCTACAGAAGCTGGCTCTTGGCACATGGAATGTCACCACTCTGGTGGGGAAGGAGCCTGAGTTGGTGTGTGAGGTTGAGAGGTTCCGACTAGATATAGTCGGACTCACCTCAACACATGGCTCTGGCTCTGGAACCAGTTTCCTTGACAGGGGTTGGATTTTCTACCACTCTGGAGTTGCTCCCACTGAGAGGCGCCGAGCAGGGGTGGGCATACTAGTTGCCCCCCATCTTGGTGTCTGTACATTGGGGTTTACCCCAGTGAATGAGAGGGTAGCCTCCCTCCGCCTACATGTGGGGGGATGGGTTCTGACTGTGGTCTGTGCTTATGCACAAAACTACAGTTCAGACTACCCACCCTTTTTGGAGACCATGGAGGGGGTGCTGGAAAGCGCTCCTTCCGGTGACTCCCTCGTTCTGCTTGGGGACTTTAACGCTCACGTGGGCAATGACAGTGAGACCTGGAGAGGTATGGTTGGGAGGAATGGCCCCCCGATCTGAATTTGAGTGGTGTTTTGTTTTTGGACTTCTGTGCCAGCCATGGATTGTCCATAATGAACACCATGTTCAGACATAAAGGTGTCCATATGTGCTTTTGGCACCAGGATACCTTAGGCCGCAGCTCGATGATCGACTTTGTTGTTGTTTCATCTGACCTGCGGCCGCATGTCTTGGACACTTGGGTGAAGAGAGGGGCGGAACTGCCAATTGACCACTACCTGGTGGTGAGTTGGCTCAGATGGTGGGGGAGGATGCCAGTCAGACCAGGCAGGCTCAAACGTATTGCGAGGGTCTGCTGGGAATGTCTGGCAGAGTCTCCTGTCAGAAGGAGCTTCAATTCCCACCTCCGACAGAACTTCCAAAATGTTCCGGGGGAGGCGAGGGACTTTGAGTCTGAATGGACCCTGTTCCGTGTCTCCATTGTTGAGGCGGCCGACCAGAGCTGTGGTCGCAGGATCGTCGCTGCCTGTCGTGGTGGCAACCCCCGAATCTGCTGGTGGACACCGGCGTTTAGGGATGCCTTCAAGCTGAAGAAAGAGTCATATCAGGGCTTTTTGGCCTGTGGGACTCCAGAGGCAGCTGACAAGTACCGGCAGTCCAAGCGGAACGCAGCTCTGGTGGTTGCCAAGGCAAAACCCGGGCATGGGAGGAGTTTGGTGAGACCATGGAGCAAGACTTCCATATGGCTTCGAGGAGATTCTGGTCCACCATCCGGCGTCTCAGGGGGGCAAAGCCGTGCGCTACCTACACTATCTATAGTGGGGACGGTGTGCAGCTGATCTCTACTCAGGACGTTGTGGATCGGTGGGCAGAATACTTTGAAGGCCTCCTCAGTCCCACTGACACGTCTTCCAGTGAGGAAGCAGAGTCTGGGGACTCTGGGTTGGCCCCTCAAATGTCTGGTGCTGAGGTCACTGAGGCAAGGCTCCACGGGTGGATGAGATCCGCCCTGAGTTCCTTAAGGCTCTGGATGTTGTGGGGCTTTGTTGGCTGATGCGACTCTGCAATATCGCGTGGACATCGGGGGCAGTCCCACTGGACTGGCAGATCGGGGTGGTGGTCCCCTTATTTAAAAAGGGGGACCACAGGGTGTGTTCCAACTACAGGGGGATCACACTCCTGAGCCTTCCTGGTAAGGTCTATTCAGGGGTTCTGGAGAGGAGGGTCCGTCGGATTGTTGAACCTCAGATTCAGGAGGAGCAATGTGGTTTTCGTCCTGGCTTTCGTCCTGGCCGTGGAACACTGGACCAGCTCTATACCCTTAGAGGGATCCTGGAGGGTGCATGGGAATTTGCCCAACCAGTCTATATATGTTTTGTGGATTTGGAGAAGGCATTTGACCGTGTCCCTCGGGGGTACTCCGGGAGTATGGGGCACCAGGTCTGTATGGGGCTGTTAGGTCCCTGTATGACCGGTGTCAGAGCTTGGTCCGCGTTGCCGGCAGTAAGTCGGGCTCATTTCCAGTGAGAGTTGGACTCCGCCAAGGCTGCCCTTTGTCACCAATTCTGTTCATAACCTTTATGGACAGGATTTCTAGATGCAGCCAAAGTGTGGAGGACATCCGTTTTGGTGGCCATAGGATCAGGTCTCTGCTTTTTGCAGAAGCTGAGGTCCTGTGGGCTTCATCAGAACATGATTTTCAGCTTTTGCTGGAGCAGTTCGCAGCCGAGTGTGAAGCAGTTGGGATGAGAATCAGCTCCTCTAAATCTGAGACCATGGTCTTGATTCGGAAAAGGGTAGAATGCCTTCTCCGGGTCAGGGATGAGGTCCTGCCCCAAGTGGAGGAGTTTGAGTATCTCTGGGTCTTGTTCACGAGTGAGGGAAAACTGGAGCGTGAGATTGATAGGTGGATTGGTGCTACATTTGCAGTGATGCGGACGTTGTACCGGTCTGTCGTGGTGAAGAGAGAGCTGAGTCAGAAGGTGAAGCTCTCGGTTTTCCGGTCGATCTACGTTCCTACCCTCACCTATGGTCATGAGCTTTGGGTAGTGACCGAAAGAACAAGATCGCGGATACAAGCGGCCGAAATGAGTTTTCTCCGAAGAGTGGCTGGGCTCTCCCTTAGTGATAGGGTGAGAAGCTCGGTCATTCGGGAAGGGCTTGGAGTAGACCTGCTCCTCCACATTGAGAGGAGCCAGTTGAGGTGGCTCGGGCATCTGGTCAGGATGCCTCCTGGACGCCTCCCTGGTGAGGTTTTCTACGCACATCCAACCGGGAGGAGATTTAAAGGTAGACCCAGGGCACGGTGGAGGGACTATGTCTCTCACCTGGCCAGGGAACGCCTTGGGATTCCCCCCGAGGAGCTGGCCCAAGTGGCTGGGGAGAGGGAAGTCTGGGCCTCTCGCCTTAGGCTACTGCCCCCGTGACCCGACTCCAGATAAGCGGATGAAAATGGATGAATGGATGGATGAACTGAAGGAATGGATAGGATTCTTTGCTTTGGTTGAAAGTCCCAATTGTTTGGCTATAGTATTATAGACAAACTAGCCCTAATGTTGCTAAATGGATAGCAATGCTAAAGCAAGGAATAGAAATTTAGATTGTCTTCAAGTGTTTTTTTTTTACAAAGATCTGTCATATCACAGTGCCAGAGACTACCGAGACCTGAGGAAGACTGGTAAAATCAACATGGAAATGAGACAATATAAAACAGAAACACAACAAATTTAAGGAAAAGCTTGAACCCCCAATCCATCCATGAGGAATGTTAGTTAAATCAGTAATTTGACAAATTGTGTGTTGAGTTAGAAGCAATTGTCATATTGCCATCTTTAGTCATGACAACTCATTTACAGACTGGAAGATTTTCAACCACTGTGTTATACAACTCTTACTCACCAAAACAGTCCAACAATGGATGGTAACTTGGCCGTTTGACGTTCTGTCAGACTTTAAAAAGAAGCGGCGTAGCTGTTCTGACATCGTGTTGAAATTCAACACTTTCTAAATGACTATATTTCTTTTTATTTGCTTGTTTGTCAAGTTTGTATCTCCTAGAAGCATTTATGGTTACTTTCCCTGAAGTGACTTGTGTAGAAAAAAAAGGCTCAAAATTACCAACATATTTACCTGTCTATTCTAAGAAACGTATCATTTTAATTCTATTAATCAAACAATACTACAAATTTTCTAATCTGTTATTTTCCAAAATAGAGTTCTGCAAAAAGAGTTCAAACAGATTGTAAATTGCCTGTATGGAGTCCAAAACCCCTCCCAGGCACTTTACAATACAACAGTCATTCACACATTCACACACTGCAGATCTGCAGAGATGAAACAGCTGAAAAAAAGAAACAGAGATGAAAAAGAACAAGCATGGGTAAAAACATCATAGCCTACATGTTTTCTTTTGGTGGGTGATAAATAACAGTAGAAACAATAATACAAAGACTTTTCAGCTGTGCTAAAATTGTTTGATAAATTTAAATGGGACTGATGAGTTCAGAGTATCACAAACAATGATACGTTTAATCACTCAAATCGATCATGATGTGCTCGTATATTTGAGTTTTCCCCTTGAAGCTGGATGCAAACAAAAACACTCTGTTGTCAACGGAGACCACAGAAAACCCCCGAGGTGCCTGAATGCTGAGCTCTTGAGATGGGACAAACTGTCCTCTGTTAGTGTCCCATTGGTAGACCTGTGTCAGTGAATAATCACTGCCTAAGATGGCATACTGCCATTTGCTGACGAAGACAGGCTGGAACACCATGGAGCCACGGGAGGGAAATGTCTGGACCTCTTTGAACATGGCACCATCCCAACGCATCACCCTGGAGTCCCCGATGAATCTTGTCAAGCATATGAAGAGATCACCTTTAAAAACGACAACGATTCCAGGAACTGCTTAGCTCTGATGGCATTTGTGTGTATTAGGTTAAACTTTTTATAGTGAGACTAAATTTAAAAAAATAGGCTACCTTAATATATTTAGGTTAGACTTTCTATGATAAATGTGAATTTAAACGTTTACTTTTGAACATTTTTATGTGAAGCTAAATGTGTTAAAAATAAATGTAATTTTTCTAAGGTGTTACTTTACAATCATAGCCCCATACATCTGTGGACAACACTTTTCTCCAACTGAAACTGCAGTTCTTACCTTTTACCCGAAAGTGTTTGACTGAGAAGACGTCCTCCATATCTGGGATATCAGTTCTGCGATCAAACTTTTTCTGGATCCTATTCCACTGGTAAACAACAGGCCTCTGGGAGCTGCTGGACAAAATCAGGTGGGGTTTGTTGGCAATCTCCAGGTACTCCACGTCAGTGTCTCTGTACCACAGGTGGAGGGACTGGTGGGAGTAGAAACCGATGCCGTTCCATTTGTACACAGTTGTAGAGCCAGCCTACAAATGGAGCAAAAATCTCAAATGTAAATTTTGCAGCAAGCTGCTATTTTAAAAGTGTGTGCAGCAAGCATATGTGGGGGCATATGCAAACAAGATGACGAATCAGCAGGAGCAGACAGAAGTGTTTCAAACCAGAACACAAGGGACAAAAAGACAGAGATGGGAGCATTTTTCTAAGATAAACACCTGTTTGATTTGCCAAAAATGTCATTATTTATTCTCACACTTTCACATACAATAGCCAGTTTTTGTGTCCGGGGATCAGACCGCCAAAGCTCCCGCCTTGGTCTGCTACTCGATCCACATTGCACCAGACCCTCATGTTCCTCCAGCAGGTGGTGGGTCCACAGGTGGATGATCCCATGTATACGGTTCAGGCTGGGCCCGGCCGGGCCCCATGGGTAAAAGCCTGGCCACCAGGCACTGGCCCCAACCCTAGTCCTGGCTCTAGGGTAGGACCCCGGTAACTGTCCGGGCCGGGTACTCTAGCTCTTTGATTTCACTTCCATGAATAGTTTTCTGGACCACACTTTGTCTCACCCCTCACCTAGGACCAATTTACCATGGGTGACCCTACCAACATAACTCCTAGAATCCTTATAGCACTCAAACTCCTCCACCACGATAAGGTGGCGGTTCAAGGAGGAGAGGAGCCAGTTGAGGTGGTTTGGGCGTCTTGTTAGGATGCCTCCTGAATGCCTCCCCAGGGAGGTGTTTCAGGCATGTCCTGCCGGCAGGAGGCCCCCTGGTCGACCCAAGACACGTTGGAGAAAGAACATCTCCTTGGTGTCCTACCGGAGGAGTGGGTGGAGGTGGCTGGGAAGAGGACAGTCTGGAACTCCCTAGCTGGAATGCTGCCCTCGCAACCCAGACCCCGATAGGCAGAAGAAGACAAGACTTTCACATATAGTTTTGTAGAAAATAAACCAAAAGAGGAAAAAAACTTTCCTAACCTTGGAGCTGTCAGCGATAATGAAGAAAGTCTCCCCATCAATCTCAAACGCCTCTATGTCATTGGGTTTGCGAATCCTCAGGATGTCAATGTCCTGGATTTTGATAAACTTGTTGGAAGAGGTGTCACGTTTATAAATGTGTGAACCTCCAAACAGCTGGGCCACAATGATGAAGAGCTGGTTGTCAATCACAATCGGTTTGCAGACCACAGTGGAGATGCCTCATAAGTAAAACACAAAACAAATAAATAAAATTATTTGTATTAATACATCAAAATGGAAACACCCAAAGTCCATCTTTACAGAGATAAAGTAGGAGCTGATTTACCTAAAGGAAAAATACATTTAATTGAATGAAAAACCTTAATATCAAACTAAAGTGCTTAATGGTGAGCAAAATCAAATTAATTAAGGTTTTGTCCAAATATGGCAGAGGTTTTGGGGGCTAATAGACGATTAAAATCAATTCTTCTCATGATTAACTGTAGTAAAAAGCTTTTTTGTTTAGGTCAGGAAAAAGGCCCCATTTACACCACCTATATCCAATTTAGCCTTTAAAAAAAGAGGACACAGGACATGTTTTTTCTTATATTATAAAATTTATACAGTAGGGCTGGGCAATATGGCCTAAAATCAATATCACGATATATTGAGGATTTCACCTCAATAAAGATAAACAGACGATAACTACAGGTATGCGCAGAAACAAAAGTTGTCCACTAGATGGGACTGTCACAATTATTATGTTGAGTCACATTTTTACGTGACACAAGGTGGTACAGCTTCGTGAAGGGACAAGAATGTTGCCAACCATCTTTTCATTTTTTTATTATCACATTTGTTGACATGGGAAAAATGATCTTGATAAGAGTCAGAAATTTCAATAACGATGAATTTTCGATTTATTTTCATGCACCTATTATACTGTCTATGCCTGTATTAAATCATGTTTATGAACTTCTTTACATAAAATCCTTCTCATATTTGAACTTTTCGTCAGTTTTATTCTTGACATTCTCCAGACCTTCCAGAATGAGCCATTTCTGGTCTCTGTCACTTGAAAAAAACCAAGCTGGAGCTGGCAACACCCACCCATGCCCAGCTCAGGCTGCTATAGGTTTAGAAGCTCGGATATCCGGTAGCAGCTCTCTCTTGTACATGAGAGGTGGTTCTATTCTAAATTCTCCGTTTGTGATATCACAAATGGGGACTTTTTAGAAGTACTTGTTTTAGGTAAACATTTATTAAAACCAAACAAAATAGACAATAAACAGTTTTTTTCCATATCTGGAGAATTTATAGAGGCAGTAACCATAACCATAACGCAACCAACATGGCAGCACAAAAAGACGCAAAAGGGCATTTTTGCCTAATGTAGCATACCAAAAGACTGAGTATTTCATCAAAAATGACCAGAAGTTAACTTTTGACTTGCAGGGTCAAACTGCTTCATACAGGTCAATCTGACACAGTGGTACCGATATGAAGAAATGAACTTGGGCCAATATTCTTAACACATCCTGCATGCATCATGAGCTTCAAGGCTGCAAAATGCAGGACTTCTCATCTTCTATTCTCTGAATAAAGCTCATCTTTCTTGTCAAAAATGACTTTTTAAAACTTCATATAATCATAGTCTGGTGAATGAACAGTATGTTTAAATCCAAAGTGTTTGATTAATATGTCCTATACTTAACATTAATGAAGCTCTCCCTGGGCTGCCACCGCGACCCAACTCTGGATAAGCGGATGAAAATGGATGGATGGATGAATGGATGGATGGATGGAGGTATGGATGGAGGTATGGATGGAGGTATGGATGGATGGGTTAAAATGAAAATTTTTCCTGTAATGATTCATTTCAGATCATAAACTACACCAGGTCAGTAGTTGTCATAGGTGTGGACTCGAGTCACATGACTCAGACTCGAGTCATTATTTTTATGACTTCTGACTTGACTTGATAAAATCTATAAAGACTTACGACTTGACTCGGACTTGAATGCCAATGACCAGTGCTGGACTGACCATAGGGCATAGCGGGCAACTGCCCGCTGGGCCGACCCTTTCATCTTTTATGGGCCGGTGTCTGTTTTTTTTTTTTTGTTTTTTTTTTTTTCCTGGCCTCTAGTTGTTGCGGACAACTTGTCCGTGCCGCCCCACGCGATGCCTCGCAAAAGTTGGTGGATTGGCCAATTGGTAATAATACACTCTGGGCTGGACCAATAGCCAGAGGTCTGATGCACCCGCCAGTTGTTTGTGAATCTCAGTAAACAGACAGACGAGCTTAACAAAATGGAGAACAAAAAACGGAAAGGAGGAGCGGAGAAAATTCGACTAAAAAAGAAACTGGCCCTTCAGGCTGATGCTGGCACATGTGTTAAAATCTCACAGTTGTTTGGTAGTGAAGGTTCAAGTAAAATCCATTTAGGAAGTGATGGAGCCTCAGCCCAGCGACAGGTTGGAGAAGAAAAGAGGGAGGAGGAGGAGAAACCCGAGCCGGTGTTGTGCCATGAATTGACTCGCTGCCAAAAAATGATTAGCCACCGCGGGATCGCGCACGGTTAGGTAATTGCATTTCTAGACAAAATTCCCCAGGATTTCGCCCTAAAACTCGGCATATCTAGCAATATGGACATTCAGAAAGCAAAGATAACCTCTTCCGGTACTTAAACAGATGTTTATCGCGGATATTAGTGTGGCAGTGTTTGTGGCACCCTGCGCGGGAGCACGAGGACGTGCTTGTGGAAAGAGGGAGGAAGATGTGGCAGTGTGAGCGTCCTGTCACAATGTCCCGATTGATGATGCGCCCTGGCTACTTAGCCAAGGAGATGTCCCTTTGGCTGACTGGTTAGAGCGTATGACTTTCACCCGGGAGTCTGGGGATCGAATCCCGCCCGGGCACTCCTTTCTGCACCTTGCCACATTAGTTTTTCCAGTTCGGAAGTTGTTTTAAGTGTTGCTATTTGTCTTAAACGTTCACAATGAGGATATATTAATCCTTTTTGCAATATTTGCGATTGAAAGATGGTTTGTGCCACAAACTTTGTGGTAAGAACTGGCTTTCTTTATGTTACAGCCTTGATACTAAAAAAATAAATAACAATGTAAAATGGCACCCTGTATTGAATGTAAACGTTGTATAAATGGAAATAAACAATTCTCCAGCGATTTAATTTTTTTCCCCTTCCTTTCTTTAGTCTACTTGACATGGAGCCACAGTTAACTAGTTTGGGGCACATTTTTACTTGAAAAAAAGTATTTAAAATGATCAAGCTTTGGCTTTAATGACACTGTGTAGGTTACTATCTATACATTACGTTGCTCTATTTAAAAGTAACAAGATAAAAGCACTTCAGCACATAAAATTAAGATTGTCACTTGCCGAATAGACTACACCCTCCCGTTTACCTATAAGAAATGCCTCAAAATATCTTTAAATTCTTTATTGATGATTTAAGTGTAGACAAATAAAATGGCATTTTACTTGCCAAAAAGTGATTGAATCGCTAAGATTTTCATAGAGGCTAAAATTGACCAAATAAGGGTTTTATGTATTATCTGTTGACGTTACTGTACTCATACTGCCTACTGTGTCATCAAAAACACCCCAAAAATGGCAAAAAAAAAAAAAAGAAAAGAAAAGAAGATAATTTCCCTTGCCAAAAATTGATTACAGTGTCCTGGTCACGTGTAAAGGGTTAAATTGACCTAAATATTACCTTATTTATTATCTCTTGATGTTATTAGTGCCATCACAGGATGCTGGGTGTCTTCCACATTCATAAACACAGAGTCCTGGTCACCCATAAAGGCTTAAATTGGCATAAACATTACTTCATTTATTATGATGCTGGGTGTGTTCCACAATCATATTCGAATAAACATGAAAATATTCTGTCCGAATATCTGTTTCTTGTTATAAATATAACAGCTAGAAGCATTTACAGTTAAAATAGGAGAAACACGTGACTCCCCAGGAAGGGTCGTAACACCACTTGCCTCATGCACATAAGTGAACAAAACAAAGCAGCATGGAGACACTCCGTCTCCAACCACCTCTCAGGCAGCAGCCTGCACTCCCAAGTTCTACACGTCACCAGAACATAACCAACCGCAACACAATAAAAGCAGTGTTATACAAAATGGAAGGCCTGTAGTGTTTATTCTCTTACAGTAACAACTTATCAATTTTTTGGAGGAATTTATTTAGAATTTTTTGGTTTTTATTAATTGTGCAATAGAAAAGTAATCGCTAGATTAATCATCTAAATAGTCATTAGAATAGTCGACTATTCGATAAAATAATCGTCAGAATAATCATTTAAAAAATAATCAGTTACCCCCAACCCTACTTTTTAGAATACCAGGATAGGAAGGATGGTGTAGGTTTACGTTTATTAGATTGATACATAAATACTACCAATAAGAAAGTGTACGTTGGTGTGTGTCAGAAACAGCGTAAAGCTTAATGTCTTTTCCAAAAAAAAAACAGGTGATGGGCCGGTCTCCAGTCAAAATGCCCGGGCTGAATTTTTGTCCCAGTCCAGCCCTGCCAATGACTTGTGACTTGAATCGACTTGCATCTGTTGACTTGATGATGACTTGAGCATATTTGATATTTTAGCACAAAAGTGGCAGAATATGGACAAAAATCATAAATCATTCTTTGTTCTGGGTGTGATCTTGTTCTGCTAAATGCAGCAGCACTTTGTTTATAATCAGTTTCTGTTGCACTTTCTGCTTGTTTCAGCACTAAATTAAACTTTAATTATGGAATATATTTATTATCATTGTCATTCAATTGAAGTTGGACAGATGACTTGAAAATTCAAAGTTAATGACCTGGACTTGACTTGGACTTCCACATCATTGACTTTGGACTGGACTTGTCTTTGATTTGGGCTTGACTCGAGACTTGACTGGAGAGACTTGTGACTTGCAAAGCAGTGACTTGGTCACACCTCTGGTAATTGTTGATTCTAGTAATTTAATCTATCAGTATGAACACAATGATATCACAATATTATTATTAATGTTTAACAATTTTGCTCCACATAAGTGTTATAACATTTTCACTTCACACTATGAGTTAATCTCTGAGTATCTGAGTGAGGGAGTGATTCTCTGGTGTCTTTGTTAATGTCCCTTTATACTTGTGAAATTCTGATTTGTCCATTTGTCAACAGCATTTAGTAAATAAAGGGATCACTTCCTGATCCCTCAGTTCTTCGCCAGCCTCCCGATTAGGTCGATTGGGTGGGCAAGCATTTGGAACCATCCTCTCTTTTGACCAAGATCACAGTCGCTCTGCAATGCTCGCAAGTGATCAGACACTACAACACCTCAGACGTGGAACGTCTAAATTGCAGACCCTGGTAGTATCTCCTGGCCGTTGATCTGAATTCAAAGGGAGCTACGACTCTTTGAGATTCCCGTAGCCGTGACGTACGGTGAACTCACCACTCGGGCTGCCTCCTCCCCAGACCGCTCAAGAGCTAACGCCACACAAGGGGTAACGTAGACTCTGCACGATGGTGTCGGATGGTTTTCTGAATAATCTCTAGCTTATTAAACCATACAGTCAAACTGATTTTACAACCCAGACATCACAAGATCTCTCGGATACTTAACCAGCTTTTTCTATAATTATTTAGCTTACATTCCATCATTTAATCATTATCTTGTCATGTTTAATCATTAGTTTAGGAAAATAGAATTAAAATCAGTTTTATAAACTACACTTGACTCTGAATTAATATTAAATGTGTGTTCCCTGAATAGTCAAAGAACCTAAAATAATATTAAATCAAATATTCAAAGACCAATCAGATTGGTAATTCATATGAATATCACATCCTATTGGTCATTTAATAAATGTAGCTAATCCTCACCGCTACACTAATATGTTCCCTTTAGTGCTGCTTATTGCTGTCCCTGCCACTCCCTGACTTAGTGATTGTTTGCTAGTTTGGTTGATTTCACTATTACATCATTAAATTAAATTTGCCTCCAGTTTTGGGTCCTCTTCCAGAGGCAAATACAAATAAATTAAATTGAATTTAAATGCAGCTTTCTAAAATTGACAGCTTTCTGTTCCGTGACAGCCAGACTTTTTTTTTCAATTGGTGATGCATTTGTAAAGCTGAGAAGTCAGACAAGCAACAGCCATTTTAACAAGGAGACATGCTGATGCACAGATGGAGAATTACGCCTCTTCTGACTTTTTCCTGCCCTTTGGTATGTGAGGCTGGCAACAATTTCAAATAAAACCATTTTCATTATCAAAATGAGCTCACGCGTCTTAAAATTGCACTGACTCTCCAACTCACTTTCAATGATGTCATAAGTTCTGAAGGTCATCTCCACATGATCCCATTCTAAGAAGGTGCAGGTGCCAGTGAAAGGCTGAGCAAACACCACAAATTGCTCGTTTCCGAAGTTGAAGGACTCCACTGAAATCGACTCAAACTTCAACAGCTGATAGGAAGCAAACTCTAAAAATGATGACACAACAAAATTATGCACATACAGCAGAAAAACCCTGTTAAACATATATTCTTGGTCAATGCTACTGATGTTACTTGTTGTGATGCAGTCAAAAGAGTGCGGCTGCAGATCGTTGATCTTCTTCCCTTGGTGAATGGATGGGCCACTGCAGTAGATCTCATCCAGAGTAGCGTTGGTGTGATGAATCCATTCGACAAACCACTTGAGCTTACAGTCACAGATCAGATTGTTTCCTCTCAGATCTCTGTAAATGAAAAAGAAATCTTAAAAAAAAAAATAGCTCGCCATAAGAAAACAGGAAGACAGTGTTGTTTAGTCACTGTTCAGGTTCTCCTTGATGCTGTCTTTTCCCTGCTTTGGGTTTGGAGCCAACAGCTAGTGTTCTGCCTCCTGAGTACGATCTACTCATCACACACTCTCAGTCTGAGTAGATATTGACCTTGAACAAGAGTCCTGCACCCACAGACTCTCACATCATCCTAGTTGGCTGTGACAGTGAGATCAGAGGCAGCTTTCAGCTCTTGTTTACCATTTTCCCAGACATTCTGGCATCTTAATCTCATTTTTCCTCCCATCCTCTTTAAATTCAGTTTATTTTAAAAAATAATTTTGGTTGAAAGAAAGCCTTTTCATATGACAGAATACATCAAGCAAAAACAAAAAGGATGGAATGTTGTACTTCAATTTAAAGGAACTCACATTTTAGTCAAAGCATCCATGCCCTTGAACACATCTTTAGGCAGCGTCTCCAGGTTGTTGTAAGCCAGACTCCTAATAAGAAAAATTAAAGAAAAAGTACACAATAGTTGATTAGAAGCAGCGTTCGTGATCTTTACACAACAAATTTACAGTGCACAGCTGAAGAAATTGCATTTGAAACTTTTTACAAGGTTTATTGTTGAGTAAAGTTTTTGTTTATTGATTACATTAAAACTGATGTTTAAAATACCATTAAACTATAACATTTCTTTCAGTTCTTTAAGAACTGAAATGAACTGTAAAACAGCAACACAGTAAGAGATGAAAGCTGCATTATTTATTCAAAACTCAGCTGTTAAGGGAAGAAAGTCCATTTGAGTTTGTGCAAGAACGCACTCTTCAAACAGACAAGTTCAGAGCAGAGCGGACAGGATTCCAATTCCTGTCTCTGCCGTTTACTGCATCTGCTTAAAGGGATACACTTTAAATGTTCACATATAAAGCATCTATTTGTATAAGCCTGTAAAATATAGTCACTGTACAAAGTTATGCTCTTTATCATGTCTATGGCTTTATCACAAAAAACACAGGAATGCTTATTGTGTTCAAATGAGTTTCAAATAACCTCAAATGGCACATACTACATCATAACATCTTTTAAATAACAAATATACAAAAATGTGATAAAAACTATTATTATGTCCAAAGTCTCTCCCAGAACATATTGAGACAAACGTGATAATCAGACAAAAGCATTAATGTTTTAGGGTTAGGGTTACGTGGAGAAGGACATTTTTGTTAAAGAATTCACTGATCTTAAGGATTTAGGTGTGTTTTATCTATGGGGTAAACTCTGCCTTAAAGGGGAGCCAATGTGGAAGCTATAAAAATGCAGTTCCCCCCTCATCCACTAGGGACTGGATTCAGATAGAAGCAGGTTCCCATTGGCTCCCATGTTAATAATGCCAACATCCCAGCAGAAATAAACATGTGGCCAGTAAAAAAAAAAACCTGGTTCAAAAAGCATTTTAGGTTAAATTGATCAAGTTTACCTTCATGATAACTCTGAGTGAGGTGAACTTTTTTGTAACTCACCTGTTTAGACGTAATTAAAGTTGTTATAACAAATCTACCGAACAAGCTATGTTTTGAACACAAGCACGGTCACGAACACTCACCCCTCCCCTCTGGTATCTTCCCTGAATCGCTCCTGTTGGAACCAGAAACGCGCACTGGCAGAGGGAACGAGATAGTGCGGAAGTTTGGCAATGGTTCAATGGTTGCTTTCAGTCTGAAACGTGTTATTGGGGGAGGTTTTTAGAAAAATGCGAGCGAACCACTTTATTATCTTTTTCTTATACCTATACTATGTTAGAACGCTGTTTACAGACATGAAAAAAAGTTAAGCCAATTTTTTTTTCCAAATTTGATATGGCAGCTTTAAAGCTTGAAATTATGAATAATAAGGGGAGTGTCAATTTGAATGACAGATAGCAGATGAGCCGTCGGTGCTAGCGCTACCAGCTTGCCCCAAGCAAAGCCTCAGCCTCTGCCTCACGTTAAAAGTGTCACAGCCTAAAAGGCAGAGGGTAGCAGGGTCATCTAACTTCGGTTTTCTAACTTAAACTGCCCACCAATCTCCGTTAGCTTTGGTTAGCTCTGGGTTGACTCCGTTAGCTCCTAGCTGCATTATCTCTGTCATGAGCCGGGGCGAGTACTCTCATTCACCTAACCATCTTTGAGTCTCTTGCCAGGAGAGGGAGTGCCCCAGCTGTTCTTGTTCAGCAATCAGCGGGGTGTTTTCCTATTTAAGGTGGATGGAGGACACAATTCAACGCCAGAAGATTGCCTCAGCTTGGTAGTACCCAGCCACTTGAGTTAACCTCTTGTATCTCTAGGATTCTTGCGCTTTAGCATTTTTGCTCTAGGTATTTTTGGAATTTTTTTACTTTTGCTACCGCCTGGAGCTTATTGTGGATTACTTCCCTTCTTCAGGATTCCCGCTTGTTCTCTGGTCACTTGCCTTTGGATACCTACCTGACTCCAGGATTTGGATACTCAGCACGCGGACCATATCACCAACCTCCATAACCCACCTCTCATCTTAACCCGGTGCCCCATCCACCAGGACGCCCCGCTTTCCTCCACCTATGCTCCCTCTCCTGTGCTCCCCCGGCTCTCAACCTGCTCCCTCCTCCAGCCAGCAAACTCACGTCCCACAATAAGTTCTGCTGAACACCTCTGACTAAATGGACCTCTGAATCAGAATCAATGCTCACCCGTGTTCTCCCTCTTCCAGACGCTGAGCTGTCATAGCAGTACCTACCACAGACTTATCTGTGCATCCTCAGTTCCTTCTTTATAAATAAATCAGTTTTTACCCCCGTTCTTGATCTGTGTTGCATTCTGCATGTCTTGGGTTAGGTACCTTCCTCCAAACATGACAATCTCATAGTTTGCTTGGGGTCAATCATCTGCCCCCACCCTGACAGCCCTGCTCTCAGTTCCATTTGTGTATTTTCCAGGAGTGATGAGATGTGTGACCAATATGGCTGTGCTTGGACGTGCCTACTGGGCTTTAATTCAGCTCTTCAGAAACCTCCGGGTGACAGTGCAGAGGGTTGAATGGTTTTAACAGTGAAAGGGAGGAAAAGCTAGAAAGCAGATTTAGAGACGTAGTTATTTCATGCTTTGTGAAAAGAAGATAACACATGATAGAATGGGGGACTAAAATTTCCAACAGGAAGCAAAAACAGAAAACTAATTGTGCTCTTGAATGCACCATGATAAAATAATATCAGTTCATGTATGACCCAGATCAATGTTATGTACTTTTCTGTGCTCCTCTTTGAGATTTAATATTAACAAAACTGCATCGAGACAACTCATCATTTTGACTACATCTCTTCATTTTAAGTGAATTGCTTTCTAAATAAGAAAAGTCCCCTATACAACCATTTATACCAGAAAACAACACTTGACTGCACTGCAATGAGACAGAAACATCCTGGCAGAAGGTCAGAAACAGACTAGAGGTCACTTGGCTTAAGGTTACAGGACAGCTATACTTAGCTGGGACCTACCGGTCATGCATCTGAGTTGCCATCAGTTTGTTGAAGCACACATAAAGGCACATTTTAAATTGATTATTTGACCAAATAAATATTTGATTTTTGCCAAACTACAGATACAAAAAGAAAACAAAACACCTATCTCTGTTCTGCAACCTGATATCACTGACATTTGTAGACAGTCACCTTGTTCTTTGACCGCTGGCAGCAGCAATTTTTCCTGCTGTAGCAATTCTGACAAATTGATACAGTTGCAGAAAGTAGATAAGGATGCATTACAGTATTCTTTATTATAATATTGTAAAAAGTCTAAATACTGCTTTTGAGAAATTATAGCTAGTGAAAATGTGCAGAAACTGGTAATAGAGGCAGGAATAGACAGATGAGAACTGAAAAGAAGAAAGTGACAAAGAGCAGCTCGGACCCAAGAATTGAACCTGAAATGGAGAGTTTAGTGCAAATAAAAGAAAATACAAACACGATACTTACAGATGTATGAGTGCCTTCAGTCCCCGGAAAGCAAATGGCGATATTGATGCAATTCTGTTGTTTTCAATAAATCTGCAAATGACAATGAGATTTTATTTACATGTTATTTAAATACAATTATATTTAAAGCAATGCTAAACAAAGATATTCTGCTCTATTGTGACATCTTCATGTCAAATTCACATTTGCATTTTCACCTCCTACTGTCGAGATGATGCAAAAACGTTTAGGTGAAATTTTTATTCAAAGTTCAATAATGAAATCATCATATCTGTGTGGACCGTGGGAGTTAGCTTAAATAAATTGTACACAAAAGATTTCAGCAATATAATTCATAAGCTGTGCTATAAATGTGGATCTGAAATGTGGTCTGCTCCTTTCTCCCTCACCTGACTGCCACCACCTGCAAGGACAAGGCTGCTTGACTCACAACTGCTTCCCATCTTTCCATGGAAGATGCAGTGTGAAGATTCTGCCAGATGACTGCTCTGATGCCTGATTGTCACTTTGTGGTGGTAACAAAGCTTGAACTTCAAATAATTTAATTCTTGAGTATTTTTAGATTTAATCATTGTATAATTTTCCTATGGTCCTAGTCATTTTCCATCTCATCAGTGTTTTAGCCAAGTTTAAAGACTGAAGTCCAGTTTTCTCAGAAACCTGCCCAGAGCCTATGTTTCATCACCACAGCTGCTAAACTCTCCCTTCATGCTGCTTATCTAAGACTTGCCAGAGTGTCCGCCCTCTAACTCCTCATCCCAGCCACATTCTGAATATTTAAGCCCTTGCCTGGGTGCCCTTGCACTCACCCATCATCATCCTAGCATCAAATCCCCCTACCACGCAAGTCTATCTTCATTCAGCATCAGATCTTGTCAGTGGAATTTGTTAACCAGTATTTCTTTTCTTCCCTAGACAACACATTGGACCATTCCTACTACCACTAGCTTTCTCCAAACGATTGAACAAACATTTTTCTTTACCGACTGTGCCCTAAGTTTGTCTGCATTTAGGTTTGACTAAAGCCCCAACATGACTGAACAATCAGGCCAAGACCCAGTAGACAAACTGTGGACTGCCATTACTGAACAAGGCATATTAATTGGTCAGCAAGAGTCTTGCCTTCATACCCTCGTGGAAGAACAGGCCCACTGTTGAAAAATGCTGAGCAAAATTTCTCTGCAATTAGCTGAACTGAACAAGCAACTCCAGTGTCCTCCCTATGCACTAGATCCCGTCTTCCAAAACGTTGCTTCTCCAACCCTGGATTACTTCACAGGTGAAGTGGGCCACTGCAGAGGTTTCTTACACCTGTGTCCCCTCGTTCATTTCCGGATGACTCATCCAAGGTCTCATTCATTGTTGGCCTACTCAAGGACAAAGCACACAGGTGGGCTGATGCTCATTTTACTGAGAGTTCTCTGCTGACATGTAATCACTCTGACTTTCTGGTTGAATTCAAGTGAATCTTTGACTATCCTTTGGAAGAGATTGGAAAGAAGCTCTCGTGTCTCAAACAAGGCACAATATCTGTAGCTGAATTTGCCAAAGATTTTTATACCTTGGCTGCAGTCTCTGGCTGGAATGATGAGGCCCTTATGGGAGCATTTTATAATGCACTGAGTGAACCATTAAAAGATAAGTTGGCACTTCGCGAAGACCCCAAGACGCTGGATGAGTTGATATCACGGGCTACACGTATTTATAACTATGTCAGAGAAAGACAGCAAAAGAGAAATGAGGTAATGAAAAATGTCTTGACTGTTTGTGGAACTCCTGTTAACTCTTCACACTCTCCTGGGGAAACTTTAACCCCCACAATGCAGAAGGGTTGTGATACAGAACCAACGAAGGCCGTTCAAACCCGACTGACATCAGAGGAGAGGCAAAGATGTATGGCCACAAGAGAATGTTTGTACTGTGGAAGAACCGGTCATTATGTTGCTTCATGCCCACTCAGTCAGTAGATGTGGGGATATCGGCAAGCAGTCTCTACAAAGGGTAATCTTCCCTATTTCTTATGAACCTCTACCATTCATCACAACCCATTCCATACCCAGGCACTGGCCAACTCTGCTTCAGAACAGAACTTGATGGATTGTTCTCTGATACAAGGCAACATACCCAATGGTGAAACCAATCAGTTACCACACTGGCTGGACACTCCTTGGCTACTATCACCTACAAGACCATGGTCATTGACTTGGTGGTATCTGGAAGTCACAATGAGTCAGTTTTTGTTTTCCACAACTCATTCCCCAATCATTTTGGGTTGTCCATGGCTTCAGTTACATACAGCTGAGCCAAAAGGACAATGAAGTGGAAACATGAAGCTCATTTGGTCTACCTGCTTCTAGTCTGCTGTTCCTGCAACCCATATTGATAACCAAACATTTTTTTCTGTTGATAAAAATCACAATTAAAAGCCAAATACGTCCATCGCTGATTATATTATGACACTGTTTATGATTAAGATGTTTGTTACTTACAGGTATTCAAGGTGCGATAAACCCAGAAAAGCTTCTTCATCAATGAGGTCCAATGAATTTGCTGTGAACAATCTGCAAATGTAAAATAAATAGAAGGAACTCGATGATTTCTGTTGGATAATTAATTGTACAGGGTCTAGTCTGTTTGCAGTCTAGATCTAGACACGATCGTTTTTGTGAAATGGCAGGAATATGAATTGTTGAAAATGTCAGTGTTGCAAGCAAATGTTTTCGTAACCTACAGCAGCTCTGTTGCAAGGTTTTGTAATGTTTGCAATTATTTATGCAGATAATTTTCATGTTTAAAAGTTTAACATACATTTTTAGCTGTGTAATTTAATGCATGATTTTCATTTATGATGCAATTATTTAAGGAAAAAAGGAAGATAATTGTTTTTCTCTCTTAAAAGTGTTCCTTTGAGCCCCTGCTGCTATGTGCTCAATTGCATAATCATGGCAGCATTATGGAGAACCCCCCTTTTAAATCTCCAATTCTCTGGAGAGACTTGGTCTTTTTGTTTAGATTCAAAAACCAAACCAATAGAAAACAGATTACTCACAGTAGCTGCAGGTTGGGTGTGTGAATAAAGCTTCCTCCAGCGATTTCGTTAAATCCAGACTTCACAAAAGATCTGAATTTATAGGAGACTTAAATTAAGAATTTAAAACGCTTTTGGGGGAATTGTGCTTGAAAACAGTAAACTTACAGTGAAACAACGTCAGATGGGAACGCGTGAGGCACGGATCGGACGTTCTCACACAGAGCATTGTCCTTAGTGCAGGTGCATCCAGAGGGACATCTGGGCTGTCTCAGTCTCCGTCCATCAGCCAGCAGAAAGCTGACGGCGACGATCCAGACCAGGAGCATCCATCCTCTGCCCGGGTGTCCCATCTCCTCTGTCCCAGAGCAACGCTATCTTCCGCACGAAAACAAAAACGCAAAATACAGAAAACTTCCAGGCGGAGTCTCCAAACGGTCCCAGCCGTCGGTGATGCTGTTTCTGAATCTTTGATGCAGGATCCTGTTTTTCGTCTAAATGGCAATCAGTCCAGCGGATTTACGGATTACAAATGTGGGACAGATGGAGATGAAAAAATGTCAAAAACATGATCTCATATTCTCAGAAAGAAAGAAGAAACCATCTGTTTCTTATTTGTTTACAACCTCCAAAGTCTTTTAGGCTGACTGATGTAAGGCAAGCCCATCAGACAAAAAGAAGGGAAGAATGAGATGGACGTGGAGGAGGGGGAGAAGCCCTAAGGTGCGCTTTTTTTAATCAGCACCGCCAGCTTTTATTTATGCGCCCCTCAGATCCGCGCAGGCTAATAGGAAGCGTCTATTCATGAGGCTCGGAGCAAATGCACCTGCCCCACTCATTCAAATGCTGCCCGCCTCATTCCCCTCCTGCATGGCAATAACGAGAAAAACACATGACAAACAGCGGTGGATTGTTGTTTTTGAACTGTTCTGATATTCAAAGCCATTTCCTTTTCCCATACTGTCGTTTGCTGGAATTCAGTTGAAAGAAATGAAATAGTGGATTTCTGTTCCCCGTGGTGATGAACCCTCACCCATGCAGCCCTGGGAAAGAATTAAATGCTCAGATATTCAAATCACACAAAGCTCTCTTTATTTTTCATCTAAGCCTACAAACGGTCTTTGTTCCCCGGTGGAGATGAATGATATGAACCTTTCGGAGCCAATTAGGCTCTGTAATTGAGCTCCAAAATAAAAGCATATTGTTTTACTCAGCCTGTTAAATTAAATAAATCTCTCTGGTACTTTGCGAGGACTGAGAATAAATTAATATTTTTATGGACGAAAAAAAGAACAGGCCAAGAGTCAAATAATCTAAAAATTGTTTTTGTTGTCCTTTATGAATTAAAATGACTATGAAAATGTTGTTTTATTTTTTTTATCTTAACCAGGCTGGGGATTTGAGCACTTTAAGCATCGTCATACACCCCCTCACTCCTCCAGGACCCACGTGACTAACATGCATTTATTTCAGTCGGACATGTTTAAAAAACTAAAGATTACAAGTTGCTTTCTAGGAAATAAAACACACCACGCCTTGTAGAAAAATCGAAGTCAAAGAAATAATGATAATTTAGACCGACAAATATTTTCATCTCACTACGTAAAATCACATCAAGCATAAGGTGAAAAGGTTCGGACGTACAAAAATAAATCCTAAAAGACTTTATTGTTAAAATCTTATATTTTTCTTTCATCTCCCAAAAAACAACAAAGAATGTCAGAAATGTCATCATGCCGCGTCCAGCGTGATGCGTCATCATTAATCGACATGTTTTACGTTTAGTAAACACTTTATATCTAAGCACCAAACCGAGAGCGAACAACTTCATGGAGGATCTTGTAAAGGTAAATCGTTTATTTATTTTTATGAGCAAAAGCATTTTAACCAGTCGGAGTTTGGGAGGTTTGCGTGTTTGCTGTCGTTGGTTAGAAATATTAGCTCACCGTTAGCTTGAAGAAGGCGTGTGCTTTATTTCTTTTCGAAGTGCTAGTCTTCTGTAGTCTTCTACGTTTTAGAAACAACCTAAACTAAATTATCATTTTTATTTTCTAACGACCTAGTTAAAAACGATTGCAATAAGAAGTCTAAACTGTCGTCAGTCTTGAGACGCTTGCAGAAATTAATGCAAGTGAGAACATTTAGCAGATGCCAAATGTTTTAACAGACATTTAAAAAGTTGTATGGTCATGTTTAGCTAGCCCACTGCCTCTCAAGGCTTCACGTCTGACAGAGGATTGCTTGCATCAGCAGATTATCCAAACTTTTAACAAAAATCTTGAGATTTTCAGCCAGTTTACCAACTGAATAAATTTGAAATAACGTCCTTGGTGACTAGTTTAATATAGATGGCAAGATTTAGGATGAATGCTGAACAGATTGCTTTTAAATGCTTAATTATTAAAGTAGCTTTATACTGTTCTGTTGTAATGGCAATTATGTCGATAAAAGCGTCAAAGGGCTCTGTGTTTGTTTAGGTTCATGGAGGCGGTGGTTACGACTCTGACTTCAGCGATGAAGATGAGGGACAGGGAGAGTCCTCTGATAGAGCTCTTAAAAGGTAACAGAAAAGACTCAAAACGGACTCTTAGAGCCCATGAAGAAGTTGAAAATTAAAGTTTTAAAAATGTTCTGGTTTCTGTCACGCTGTCCCAGCGAAGCTTGGAGTAGACTGTCTACCAGTTATGAGAGCATGCTTTCTGTCAAGACAGAATTGTGTGAGTGATCTGAGTTTGCACCTATCAAGACAACAAAGAGAGATCAGTGTGATTGTGTCACACTCTTGGAGAGAGGTCCATGTTGCTTCCTGCCAAAAGTGTAAATCTTATCGTTCAGTTAAGTCGGTGATTCCAAGTTTTCAGCTTCAAACCCACAAAATAACAACTGTCAAGACACCTGACCCCAGATAACTGATCTGATGCCTAAAACAGGCTAAAAAGCTGAATAATTCAGAGCATAAAGAAAACCACTTCAGCTCATTTTCACTTGTATCTATTTATGACCATTTAGTTGAGGTTTAGTGACAATTATGCTACAATTACTGCTTCAGCAACTGTTTGTCAATATTATTTCATATTTAGTGAAATCTTGCAGTTCTTGCTGACCCACACTGGGGTCCTGCCTAGAGTTCAGCTGATATTTGTTTTTCTATTGCTGATACTGATGCTGATATGTAGGAGACATGATCAGCTGATCGTCGATTTGTACAGGCTGATTTTCATGGCCAATATCTAGACATTTTCCACCTCATTTTCATGCTAAAATGTCACTAATAACATCGGTTGATGCACAAAATTTGAATCAGTTTTTGAACTCTGAATTTAACTAAACTTTGTGCACTGCTCAGTGTTAAAGCCAGACACCTAAATACAGCAGTTTTAGAGTATTTATTATGCAGATGTTATTAGTGAACGTAAAAATACGTTCAAATGTTATTCTGCAACAGCACTGGGCTGGCCGAGGATGGGCCTGACTTTAAATCGACTTTTCTAAGGACAAATATCAGATGATGATGTATAAAAAAAGGTAAATATCGGCTGACAAATATTCTGACTCCAACTCTGGAAACCACTGGGTTAGAGAAACCAAATATCAATCATTGAGTTCCTTGTTTAACTATAAATACACTGTAATGCAAACATATCATTGTGTTACTCATATGAAGGGATATCCAAATTTTATTTTGTCTAAACCACGAAACCGCAATATTTATTATTGTTGACCAAATCTCTCTGCTGTAAGTTTTGTTTATTTACTTATATATTCGGAGCATGAAAGCCACTTGAGGTGAACCATCTTGTTTTCGAGTGGGTCCTCCTTCGATACCATCGATAATGAGAATTTAAAAAAAAGTAACATAAACAAAATTTTCCATGCTAAACATAATAAGAATGGGGAAACGGCAGCAAAACTACAATAAATAAATAATAAATAACCAAAAACCAAAAAGTTCTTGAGTCTCTTTTTAAATTATGTAGCACATCACGTGCTCCATTTAAATATTCATCAAGAGTAAACAGTTTTTGAACAAACACAAGTGCTATTATTAACCATCTTCCCATACATCCAGTAACTTGCACCTTCTGATGACTTTGTCAATAACATTTTATTTGTGGCAGAAAACGTGAGGAGGAAATCCAACAGAAGCCTTTCCAGAGAGATCTGCACTCCAAGGCAGCTCACCGCAGCTTCCACTATGATGAAGTGGACAGGTACCGTTCTGCTGCAGTGAAACGTTGCATCATGCCGTTTCATGTGCAACTCTGGCAGCGCTTCTCCCTCTCTTCTGTCGTTTATTTTAAGAGCTCACTAGCAAAAGGAAGTGGCATTTTGTTTTCAGTCACTTGCATTTTTTTGCTGTTTTAACCAGTGTTTCCGCTGTGGGGGCTGGCTGCCCCGGGGGCAGTGGTTGGCTGTGGCGGCCGGGGTGCTTCTCGTGCCTCCTCTTGCCCAGGCCACTGCTGCCGATAAAGCTGCTCTTGGTGCAGTTGGCTCCTTTGATGGCGTTTCCGTCTTCTTTGTGCCCACAACACCTGTACTCAGCCAGCAGCCCATTCTCTTTTATGTGTGTGTGTGCGCGCGCGTGTGTGAGTTTGCATCTGCTTGGGATGGGATTGAGGGTGGGAGGAGGGAGATACAAAGGGGGATCTCTTATGTGAATCTGTGTGGGAGGGGTGGGAAACCGACTGCTGCCTGTTTGTTTTGAACACTGTAAAGCGCTTTGAGCTGCATTTGTATGAAAAGCGCTTAATAAATAAATTTGATTTGATAATAAAAAGTTTACTGACAGGAGAAATCTGAAATGATTCAGTTAGATGTTGTTTTTGCTTGTTGTTTGTGTCCACAGAATGAATGAAACTTTAGAAATGATGAAACCCTGACCCTCTCACCTACACTTCAACAGCTATGCATTCGCCTGAATACACTGTTGCATTTTTTAAAAGGGATGCTGTCCTCCCTTCCTTATTGTTTTTCAGAGAAGAAGCTAGAAACAGAAGAGCCCACCTAATATCAATGAATGCCGTATCCTTTCTTTAAAACTTTGCCTTCACTTGTATATTACCCATCTTTTTATTATTGATAGTAAGACAATCAAAAATCTTATTTTTTTAATAGTTTCTTGACAATAAACTCCAGTTTGAGCGACATAAGAAGTTTGTTGGTGACTACATTTTGTATTACGGAGGACAGATGGCCGACTTCAGACGCTCTGCGTAAGTGATCTGCCTCACAGCTTGAAAATCCATCGTCTGCCGTCTCTGAGGGCCAAATTAATAACAATTTGTTTTCTGTGTGACAACATTTGGATGCATTGTTTTGGTTTTGTTAAACACTTAATTACAACCAATCCATCACTAATTTATCTGTACGCCGAATCTTTTTCATTTGGCTCTTTAATATTTGCTTCAGAGCGAAAGACAAAACGGATCTGGACGTGCTGCGTGAAAACCACCGCTTCCTTTGGAGGGACGAGGACGAGGAGGAGATGACATGGTGATCACATGAAATCAGCTGCTCATTAAGGAGACTTTGATATCAATTTGATTTCAGATTGATTAGTTCTCTTATGAAAAATTGCATTTAGCTTGTGCTCAGTTAAATTAACTGGTTTTTGTGCTGTTTTCAATCTCACTTGAAGGGAAAAAGAACTTGCCAAGAAGTATTACGACAAGCTGTTTAAAGAGTACTGCATAGCTGACCTCAGCAGATACAAGGAAAACAAGGTGAGCTGGTGAATGAAGCAGAGCTCATATAAGGAATAGTTGATCCATAATACAGCAGAAAATGCACATGGGTCAGATGCTTGTGTATAAAAACACAGACAAGAGTTAAAACAACTGCATGGTGGTGCTGTTGTTTGCCTTGTTGCCTTGCAGCAAGAAGGTTGCAGGTTTGAACCCCGGCTGTGGTCTTTCTGCATGGAGTTGCATGTTCTCCCACGCATGTATGGGTTTCTTCCGGGTACTCCGGTTTCCCCCACAGATCACAACATGCCCTATAGGTTAAAAAGTATGTCGCTTTGGATAAAAGCGTCTGCCAAATAAATAAACAATAATAAAAAATTTAAAAAATCTCTACACTGCCAGGGAAATGCAGAATGATAATGGAAACTGTAAAAAGATTATTCAGTGATGTGGAATAATCAAAAAACCTTCAGTTATTCTAAACAGTCTTTAAAACTTTACTGTGACATCAGTCAGTCAGTAAATTAAAGGCAAGGCAGCTTTATTTTTATGGCTCATTTCATACACAGAGGCAATTAAATATGTTTTCCAATGAGCAAGAATAGCAAGAAGATTAAAAATTAACATGACGGAAAGTACACACAAAAAAAGTTTTGATTTCAAAATTAAAAGAAACGAACAAAGTTAAAAGATGAGCAGCCATTCAAAGGCTAATGAATATGTAAAAGGTTTCAATTTTGATTTAAAAGTTTCTAGAGTTGGGGCACATTTGAGGTAATGAAGAAGCCGATTCCATCTGTGTGCAGCATATTAGCTAAAAGCAGCTTCACTCTGTTTGGTTCTGACCCGAGGTTCTACCAGCTGACCGCTTCCTAAGGATCTCAGAGCCCTGCTGGGCGTATATACCTGAAGGAGATCCGGCATGTATTCTGGCCCCATGCCACTGAGTTATTTATAAACTAGCAGAAGCACTTTTAAGTCGATTCTATAGTTTACTGGTAACCAGTGTAGAGATTTAAGAAGAGGAATGACGTGCTTGGTTCTCTTGGTTCTTGTTAAGACTCTAGCAGCAGCCTTGTGAATAAGCTGCAGTTTCTTCACAGCTTTTTTGGAAATACCAGACGAAAAGACCATTGCAAAAGTCCAGCCTGCTGTAAATGAACACATGAATGAGTTTCTCTAGGTCTTGTCTGGACATGAGACCCCTGAGTCGTGCTATTTGATAGATGTTAAAACGCTGATCTAGTTATAGCCTTATTGTGACCCGTGAAGCTCAAGTCTGAATCAGTTATGACACCAAGATTCTAACCTAGGTCTTTGTCTTTATTCCTCTGGAGCCAAGTTGAGCAATAACCTTCATTCTATTCTTATTTCCAAAGACAATAACTTTAGTCTTGTCTTTGTTTAACTGGAGGAAGTTTGATTGCATCCAGTCATTAACTTGCTCTAAACACTGGTAAAGTGAGTCTAGAGAACCACAGTCACTAGGTGATAGAGCAGGTGAGAGCTTCACGTTTCAACTTTTTAACGCATTTAGTGACCAAACAAGAAAACAAAAATAATTAACAGAAAATTCGGTCCGTTACAACATTTATTTTTCAACACATCTTCTCAGATTAATGCTCTGTGCCATTAGTTAACCCTTTGCGTGCCAACTGTGGCACGAGTGCCCGGGGTTGCCGACCCCTGTGATAGAGCAATGTAGATCTGGGTGTCATCTGCATAACCATGATGGGTAAAATTGTTATTGTTTATGACCTGACCCAGGGGGAGCATGTAGAGATTGAAAAGCAGTGGTCCAAGAATTGAGCCTTGGAGGATCCCACATGTCATGGTGATCTGCTTTGATTTGTGATTACCAATAGAAACAACATAACCCCTGTCTTTGAGACATGATCGGAACCAACTTTGGACTGTGCCTGATAGTCCCAACCTTCATCTATAAAGCCCATTTCATACACTTTAATGCAACAATGTGCAGCGAGTAAAATAAAACGCACACAAATAATGAATAACTGCAGAACAAAGGGAGATTCAAAGGAGCATCAATAGGTATTGACAGGAATAACTAATATGAAGGAACCAAAAGAACTGAGTGAGCACCAGAGATAGTAATAGTAAAAATGACTTAATGAAAACATTTTAAACCAAATATCAAAACTAAAGTAATTCTCAGAATTATATACAAATGGAGAACAACTGAAATTTAACTCTGTTTTAATCTGTCTCCATCAGTTTGGATTTCGTTGGCGGACTGAGAACGAAGTTGTCTCTGGGAAAGGTACAACTTGCTCTTATTTACTGTAGATTCTTTGTTTGAATTATTTTCTTGAATGTGTGCTAAAACTGTGATATTTTCATTTCTATGTCATCTTTATTAAATATATCCCAGACAATTTTAGGTTTATAAATGAGCTTTTAGAGATTTTTTAGACTTTTCCAAAAAATACTCTGAGCTTCCACGCAAAGTTGCAAAGTTATGCTCTGTTATGCTGATTGATATATATACTGTATATGTACTGTGTATATATATGTATATATATATATATATATATATATATATATATATATATATATATGTGTGTGTGTGTGTGTGTTTGTGTGTGTGTGTGTGTGTATTTTCTGAGTTTTCATTGAATATTTTCCACAACAGAATGACAGTAAAAGTAATATTTTTAGATCTATTTAAGCTTGTTTTTAATTAAGTTTACACTACAATAAGCATCCCATTGAAAAATATCCATTTCGTTGCTATTTTTTTATTCTTAATGTAGAAACTAAATTGTGTTTATTCAAAAATGACAACAAATCTATTATAGTAGATATTTAGGGGAGAAAAAAAACTTCACTGACTTGAATCTCTGAAAAAAAAGCACATTGTTCCTCTTGTCCTCAAAGTTCTGAGAATAATTAATGAAGGCTTCCATTTAATTCTCTCAGGGTTTCTTCCATGTGCTCTAAAAGAGTTTAGCTTGTTTGCATCTGAAACAACAAGTGCAGCACCTTGTCTGTGTTGGAATGGACCTGTCTAATTACTGGGAAACCTGCTTCTGACCAACATGTTTTATGTGACTCTGATTTTTTGATTCGTATCACATCAGACTCCTCACTCTGTAAGAGTCCCCCTGAACACTTTTAGCCCAGAAGTTTATTTTGGCACCATTTTCTCCTCCGTGCTCACCTGTCCACCGAGCTGAGTGACGCTTCTGCTTTGGTGGATTGGGTGTGCGCTCCAAGCGCTTCGGACCTGCGGTAAAGTCCCACCTCCTAGTTCGATTGACAGCAGCTTTCTCAACACAGTTTATGCAAGATTGAAACTGGAATTGGGAGACTGTCAATAATGCGGGACATGTCTCAATTTGCGGGACGTGAGAAAAGTAATGAAAATGCGGGACTGTCCCGCACAATGCGAGAGAGAGCCATGTCAACCAACACAGCCCCACAATGTCCAGAACCTTAATGAAATTCAGGATATATCTTTTTCACCCGAGGGTCCTTGCCAAGAGCAGCTTTTTGACCAACTCCGAGATCTCAGCATCAGATTGTAGAACCCAACCTAAAGTCCATAGACTCCATTTACTTGCTGGAAGACATGCCGGTGGGATTGAGGAAGTCTTCACCGTACTCCGCTCACTTATCCACTATGGCCTGAGTTGAAGTAATTTGCACACTATTCCCACTATAAAGTGTTGGTAGCGCACTATTTACCCCTCCTGAAGTGCTGAATCATGGACCACAATCAGCTTGAAGCCCTTGTTCCATGGTCTCACCAAACTCTTCCCACACTCAGGTTTTTGCCTCCGCAACCACTTGAGCTGCATTCCACTTGGACTGTCGGGATTTATCAGCTGCCTTTGGAGTCCCAAAGGTCAAAAAAACCCAATAGGACTATTTCTTCAGGTTCAGCATACCTAGCCTCCAGTGTCCACCATTGGGTTCGGAGGCTGCCACCACGACAGGCACCGACGAGCCTGTGGCCACAGCTGTTGACCACATAGACTGGGCTGCATGGTGGTGCAGTGGTTAGCACTGTTGCCTCGCAGCACGAAGGTTGCAGGTTCGAAACTCTGCTGCTGCCTTTCTGCGTGGAGTTGCGTGTTCTCCCCATGCATGTGTGGGTTTCCTCCGGGTACTCCGGTTTCCCCCACATATCACAACATGCCCTATAGGTTATGAATTGTAAGTCGCTTTGGATAAAAGCGTCTGCTAAATGAATAAACATACATATATATATATATATATATATGTTTATATATATGTATATATATATATATATATATGTTTATATATATGTATATATATATATATGTTTATATATATGTATATATGTATATATATATATGTTTATATATATATATATATATATATATGTATATATATATATATATATATATGTATGTGTGTGTATATATATGTATGTACATGTGTATATATATGTGTGTGTATATATATATATATATATACATATAATATATATATACACACATATGTATATATATATATTATATGTATATATATATATATATATATACATATAATATATATATACACACACATATGTATATATATATATATGTGTATGTATGTATGTGTGTGTGTGTGTAGTGTCTTTTCTTGCTATTGCATGCAACATTAAGCCAATAACTGTTAAGTTTTGTTTTACATATTTTATTTGGATTTTAGAGGTTACAGTGGTTTATTTCAACAGAATACCCAAACAAGTCCAGTAGATGGCGACATAGATGAGGACTCAAATCTCAGTTGAAAAATCACATCTAACTAGTCTTGTACCTGTAAGGTTTTAGTTTGATTCTGAGGTTTATTTGCATATTTACAATCAATTTTATTAGCTTTCTTTTTGATTTTCTGGTCTATTTTTTTTGTCTTGGTATCCTGGTGGCTTCCTTCCTCAGGTGATTCCACCGTCATCAGATCTGTTCATCCATCCCCTCATCAGATTGTCCATTACTGTTTCTTTACAGCTGAGTAAAAGAAGGTATCAGCCTTGCTTGAGGATTTTTGATTTGCCTGTGTTTACACCACTGCAGCCTCCCAAACATAAAGTGTGTCTGAGAAGGCTGACTAAGCCAATATATTGTTCCAGATTAAGACTGTGTAATCCTAGTCTCTGACAGTTCATCCCCTGTTGCAGAACTGTATGGGAAGCAGGATTAGATGGGTCCAAGGTGCTTCACTTTTAAGTGTCACTTCTATGATTTGTGTGCAGCAATAATTCCCAGAGGGGAAAAACCAGAGTTATTACAGAGAGACTGAACCTGCTCGAGTGAAATCAATACTAATCTCAGTCTGTAAATTATATACAGCCTTCCTATTTAGATGTGGACTCTATACTTACCCAAATTAATACGTGGAATTAAACCTTAGCATTGATTCAGGATGACTTGAGTGAGAGCAAAAATAAGCATTTGGAATGCTAAAATAGCAAACAGCTTGCAGACAACTCCTCATGGTTCACCTGAGTACAAATAATTCAACAAGAACCATTTGTTGTTGGTCCAGGCTCACATGTAATGCATGTCAGATGGCCAGACTGGATTTCTGTTTACAGATGCATTTGAAAGGACTGAACTTTCCCCCATTAACCTCCAGTTATGCTGCATTTCCTTATAAGGCCTAGTGCACTTAAGCTCAACCACAAACATCTTTATGCAAACCATCCTGTTATCATCCCCACTATAAGTGCAATGTAGGCCATGCTGCTCCTCTACATCACCAGAGCGCTGACCTGTCTTTTTATGGCCACAGAGTGATGTGGAACCAAGGAGTGCTCAGTACATAAAGTCTGTCATCTTTAGCCTGTTTAATAAATATTTCTGATTATTTAACAGATTAGATTAAACTTGTTACCTTTTAAAGATAAAATGTGCCTTTTTAAAAAACATAATGTAAAACTATATTGTGCAACGTTTACTGTTTTTCACCTGAACCATTACAGGTAATCACTTCATTATGAAGCTGTGGGTGAAAAACAAACTGACCAATTGCTCCAAGAATCAAATATGGTTCTATGGTTGATAGCCACTGAGAAACCTGTCCATTTGATATTGTGAAGTGACCATTTTATAGGAACATTTTAAATATTTTTTTTTACTTCCAAGTACCACTATGGAGACTTTTCCAATTTAGATTTTCACCAAGGAACGAATTACACAGAGGCTTCCTGTGGAGCCCAGTGAGGGTGGGGGTCTGTATTGCCTTGGCGTGCCCTGGGTGTGGGACTGAGTTTTGAAGGTGATCTGACTTGTATAAAATATATAAATATTACATGCTTATAAATTATTAAATTTAATAACATTTATCCCTTTTCAAGCACTTTATTTTAGTTTTCTTGTTTTTTAGTTGACTATTTTCCTGTCCTATCTGTCTCTTATCTTCCTGCATCTCCCCTCAATCCTCTAGAAAAACTGCTGCCTGGCTTCCTCCTTTTCACCTCATGAGTTACTTTTTAACTAAGCAGATCAAAGGGATCTACCTGCTGCAAAAATGCACAGGACGCAGCTACCTGGAGCGCATCAACAGCTAGTGCTCCCTGTCCTCTGCCCTCAAAAGAATCCTCGGCACAGTAGAGTCCATATAAATGATGTAATATAGGTAGAAACTAGATTTTTTTCAGGCTCCCCTTGGGTGTGTAAGTTGACGGCTTCTAGTGGAGCCCGTCACCCTTTTAGGGGAGCCAGGTTCCCCTTAGCTCCTTTGTAATTTGAGCTCTGGTTTTCACAATTTTAAACAACTAATATTTTCCATATATATAATTTTACGCATTGTTAAAAAATGTTATTATTGTCCCCTTTCATTACTTTCCTTTATAAGTATATAAACCCCTTAGCAAGTAATGATGTATAGAGATTGGACTTTTAGCTTCTCTACACTTTCATTTTCTCTACAGATAAATTGTGCTTCTACATAAAAAGCAGTCCTGGTTGCATTTCCAGTAGTCGTGCAAACAACAACTGTCATTTAAAGTGCTAAAAGGCATTGCGTATAATTTCAGAAGGATCGGAAAGATGCAAAAAGTACCAGACCATTGCTTCAGTCTAGGACCTTCTTCATTTTTTATTTTTAAACAGAACTAAAGGTTATCTCACATTAGTAGCAAATCATTCTACAAGTGGTGCTTTTCTAACGATACAAATTTATTAAAAAACATTTAATTAGCTAAAGTGATAAAGAGCTACAAAAATTCAATTTGAAACTAGAAATAAAGGGATAACACTTGTTAAATTCATCTTTTAATATACCTTGATAAGCAGTAAGCACATA